ATCATGGAGCCCAAGAAGGTAAAATCTGTCACTGCCTCCATATTTTCCCCTTCTATTTGCCAGGAGGTGATGGGACCAGTGGCCATGATTTCAGTTTTTTTGATGTTGAGCTTCAGACCATTTTTTGCGCTCTCCTCTTTCACCCTCATTAGGAGGTTCTTTAATTCCTCCTCACTTTCTGCCATCAGAGTGGTATCATCTGCGTATCCAGGAGGCAGTGGAAGATAGAAGGCCTGGCATGCTCTGGTCCATGGTGTTGCGAAGAGTTGGACACAACATAACCACTAAAGAACAACAATCCTACTGCAGGTTGAGGCATACTTCAACTACCCACTAGCTAAGGGTAGCTGAAGTATGCATGGTACTGTGCTATTTGTGGGGCTGTACTCCAGCAACACACATTTTGCAAAATGAAAGGGGGAGGGAAGGAGGGAGAAGTGGAATAAATTGAGAGTGTGACTACACTCATGCAGTATTTAAAAAAACATTTAAATCACTCTTACTGAAGTACCGCCTTGGGATACTGGAAATCTTGCTAAAAGATAACCAGTATGGTGTAGTACAGCGGTCCCCAATCTTTTTAGCCCCACTGACCGGCTGGGGAAGGTGGGGCACTCCTGTGCTCGTGCACATGTGTGAAGGAGCACTCTCTTGCGCATGCGCAAAGGGCAGCACAGCACTTGTGGGGGTGTGCTCACGCACTGGCGCAAACAGGCTGTGGGGGGCGTGCATTCAGGGGTGGGGGGAGGTCTCTCTCCATGACCCGGTCTGGCTCAGGCCACAGACTGGCACTGGGCCACAGAATGGGGGTTGGGGACCTCTGGTGTAGTAGATAAAATGAGGTACTAAGTCTCAGTAGGCCTGGGTTCGAATCCCTGCTCAGTCCTGGCAGTTCACTTGGGTATTAGAACTGGTAAAACCACCCCCACTTACCTTGAAAACCTTATTAGTGTCAGTACCAACTTGGCCGCAGATTACAACAGACCTTGCTAAGAGAATCACATCCCATCCTGACCTAAATATGCAGTGAAGGTTTTTTTACCTTACTATATTGTTAGTCTTAGAGCCACCCCTCCAGAGAAGCCCCAGATTCATAGGATTAGTCTTCCTTGACATCGCTGTTAGTGTGAATCTTTTCCACAAGTAGCTTCATCTGTAAAAACTGGAAAGGATTATGCACTTAACTCTTTCCCAGCTAGTTAACATGCTGCGTATCCCAGGACACTCTTTTGTTATCCAAAATTCTCCAGTTGATTGACCAGCTGGATGATGTCATAAGCATTCCAGTTCACCAATCAGTACCCATCTGCCTTCTCAAATGTATTAACTGTAGCATTTGGATGTCTAGTTTGCTAAATGCAGGCCTGGCTCTACCATTAGGCAGAGTGAAGCAGTTGCCTCAGGGTAGTGAAGTGATAGGGACAATAACAATAATCCTCAGGCTTCTTTCTCCTGAACCCCCTGACTTTTCCCTTCTATCTCTGCTGCCGTCCCCACACGCACGGTGGGCAAGTCACACTCATGTGGTGGACATGTCACGCCTGTGGGGGTTGTGTCGCGCCCGTGGTGCGGGGGTGTGTGTCATGCTTGTGCAACACGCCCACCGTGCTCGCACAGGGGTGCCCCCACCACACATGGAGCTTGCTCCCTCCTGCCTATCTGCAGCCCCAAAAAGGTTGGGGACTGCTGTTGTGGAGGATGCTGTGCTGTCCCATTGCCAGTGTTCAAGGAAAAGTCAATCTAGTTGGGTCCTCTAAGGCAGTGGTCTCCAACCTTGGGCCTCCAGATGTTCTTGGACTTCAGCTCCCAGAAATCCTGGCCAGCAGAAGTGGTGGTGAAGGCTTCTGGGAGTTGTAGTCCAAGAACATCTGGAGGCCAAAGGTTAGGGACCACTGCTCTAAGGGGAATGGATAGGATCTTATCTTTAGACTCTGGCAGCTAAACGTATCAATCCAGCCCTAGTCAGATGACTAATGAGTGACCTCCATCACTTAGATTGTGATAGATACAGGAACAGAAAGACCATGAAATGCAAGAGTTTCAGAGATTAGGCCTGAAATGGTATCAAATACAGCTCAGACGTGTCCCTGACAAGTCCAGCAACTGTTCAACAATAGCAGTACAGTAGACTCTGGCAGCAAAACGTATCAATCCAGCCCTAGTCAGATGACTAATGAGTGACCTCCATCACTTAGATTGTGATAGATACAGGAACAGAAAGACCATGAAATGCAAGAGTTTCAGAGATTAGGCCTGAAATGGTATCAAATACAGCTCAGACGTGTCCCTGACAAGTCCAGCAACTGTTCAACAATAGCAGTACAGTGGTGCCCCACAAAGCGACGTTAATCCGTTCCGGATTAATCGTCACTATCCGGAAACATCGCAATGCAGGGGGGAAAACCACTGTAATTGGTAGTAACACAGTTTCTCCAGCCATATTCTACAAATTCAATATTGATCTATTTAAAATATTTTTACCCCGGCTTCCTTCTTAAAAGGACCCAAAGCAGCTTAGATCATTAAAAGACAGTATTTAAGCTCACAATACTGAGCATACAGATACTAAAAAGGATCAAACAAATACCATATTCATAAACATAAGTGACACCAAAACACATTCAAACCAGCAAGGTACAATAATCCATTTAAAAAAACCCACTCAGGTCACTAGGGTCTCAGGGAAAGCTTGCCGGAAGAGAAAGATATTCACTTGCTTGTGGAAGGAAAGCAAAGATGGGGCCAGCCTAGCTTCCTATAGGAGGAGGGTTCAAAGTCTGGGAGCAGCCACAGAGAAGGCCCTCTCCCATATATAACCATCAAATGCACCTGTGAAGGTGGTGGGACTGAGAGAAAGCGTCTCCTGATCTAAAAACTCGAGCAGGGAGATGTGGTCCTTGAGACAGCTTGGGCCAAAATCATTTAGTGCTTTATAAGTCAGAACCAACCCTTTGAATTCAGCCCAGAAATATAGCTTGGGCCAAAATCATTTAGCGCTTTATAAGTTAGAACCAACCCTTTGAATTCAGCCCAGAAACCCATCAGCAGCCTGTGGAGCTGCTGTAACCAGGGGAGGGGGGGTTATATGATCCCAGTGACCAGTTAGTAATCTGCCGGCTGCTTTTTGGACCCAATGAAGTTTCCTAACACTTGCCATAAGCAGCCCCACATAGAGTGCATTAGGATAATCTAGTCCTTGTCAAAGTTTCAATTTACAGTATTCAACCTCATCCAGTCCATTATTGACAAGCAGACACTGATCGGTGAACCCTGCAGGAGATTCTTTTCCATAAATAGAGAACCTTAAATAAATCCAAAACCCACGGTGGCAGTAATTTTTATTAGCACTAACAAAAATGTTGTAAAACTGCATACAGATGTTAAGTATTTTAAGGCAGACATTCTATTTCTTTTTTCTGTAACAAACCAATGGTGGTGGGGGGGGCAGCCCCTTTCAAGATGTTTTTTAAAGGAAAGACAGATTTCACACATATATAAAATACCTCATAACTGGCTGCAGAGCCTGGGAATAGAGCCAGCCTGTGTATCCTTATGCAAGCTGCACAGTTCTAGAGTTGCTCCAGAAAAACCTGAGGAAAGGTCATCACAAATCAGAATCAAAATGACAAACAATAACAACAAAGTAGAAATGAAAAAAGATTTGATTCCTAAGTGTGCTGATCTGAAACATTTGCTCCATCAAAATTAACAGAACTGAAGAAGATGTAGGGTATGGGTGCTAATGTAAGATATACAAAATACTTTTTCATTTCCAGAAGTCAACAATATGGAAGTTTGTCAGTTCCTCAGCCTGAAATGCACTATTCTTCTTTCATTCCCAACCTCATGCCATATATTTACATTCAAAGTATCACAACTGTAACACATCTAGACTATTTCTTGGACATTCCCTGTTTCTTCTCCCATCCCATACCTTTTTTTGGGGGGGGTTGGGGGTGCCACTTGGCTTAATAAAGAAGCGTTCTGATGACCTTAGAAGCTAATATGGAAGTTCGTCAGTTCCTCAGCCTGAAATGCACTATTCTTCTTTCATTCCCAACCTCATGCCATATATTTACATTCAAAGTATCACAACTGTAACACATCTAGACTATTTCTTGGACATTCCCTGTTTCTTCTCCCATCCCATACCTTTTTTTTTGGGGGGGGGTTGCCACTTAGCTTACTAAAGAAGCGTTCTGATGACCTTAGAAGCTTGCACGTTATTTCGGAATTTTGATTGGTCATAATACAGGCATTTTCCAATTATATTTACTTTGTGCGTTTTTCCTCCACGGACCAACACCGCTATGGGTTTGGGTGGTGGAGATGGGGGATTGTTGTTGTCACCGTTCTTTGTTAATTCTTAAAACGTACAGTACATATTTACAGTATTGGGCATTTCAATAGGGAACTTTGAAAAGAACAAGAAACTGGGTCCTCCACACGGTAGGCGGCGCTGCGGAAGAGTGAGGCGGCCGTTTCCCAACCTCATTTTACGGTACCTCTCTCTGCCTCTTCCTCTATTTACCAGGAAGCGTCTCCAGGAGACGCCGGGTGTTCTACCCCTTGAAGAGGGGCGGTGGCAAGAGCCGCCGCGGTTGTTGCTGGTATCGGCGGCGGTCCCTTCGGGCGCGGCGGTATCATGGAGCACATCCGCACCACGAAGGTACTGGAGCCGGGCCTCTTCGCTCGGCCCGTCTGACAGCCTTTGCGGGGGGCGGGGGCTTTCCTTCGCTTCGCCTGCTGTGGTTGCCGTCGGCCGGGGTGCGCCAGTGGGCAGGGAAGGAGTTTTCCCGGCTCGAGCGCCCGACCGCCAGCCAGAGGCGGCCTGTCAGGAAAACATGACTAGCTGGGCTTATCTTTGCTCGGCCTGGGAGCTGCCCGGCTTCTGCTGGAAGCAAATTAATGAGCTCGTTTTGCCAATACTGTATAGTCGTTGTGGTCCGAGCGACGCGGCAAATGTAACGAAGCCATTTCAAAATGGGGCTGGGGGGTGGGGTGGCCCTCAGGCAGCAGCAAGATGAATGCTGGTTGGGGGCAACCGTGCTTTGACCCTGTGCCTCCTCAAGAGGAAGGTCTGTTACCTTCAATGGGACCTTTTCCCTAATAAGGCTAGATAAACTCGCGGTGATGCAGTACAAGGCTCAGCAGTGAGCAACACTGAGTCCTGCAGGGGGACCTACTCCTGAGTAAGTGTGTTAGGATTGGGGCCTAAGTTTGTCGCAGCAGCAAAGGCGTATAAGACTAGCTTATTAATTTATTTAAAACATTTCTGTCTTGCCTTTTGAGGTGTGAAGGAATGTCTTAAAGGTTGCAGTCTGTTGTTCTGTCATATTTAGCTGATAGCTGCTTGCTTTAATTTGCAACGGTTTATATCCTAGGGGATTTGGTGGTCTTTCAAGGTGCCATCAGTATACAGTTTTGTGACTGCTGAAACTGAGCTTCTCATTACTGTATAGCATAAGTTTTTGTGTGAGAGAGGCTCATCTAGTATTTGGCGCACAAAAAAATTAGGCTCCAGTTATCTGATATATTGCAATTCTATTCTCCTCTGATTCTAATGGGACTTACTGTTAGGTATGCTGGCTGAGTTAGGTATCTGGCTGTCCTAGGGGATTTGGTGGTCTTTCAAGGTGCCATCAGTATACAGTTTTGTGACTGCTGAAACTGAGCTTCTCATTACTGTATAGCATAAGTTTTTGTGTGAGAGAGGCTCATCTAGTATTTGGCGCACAAAAAAATTAGGCTCCAGTTATCTGATATATTGCAATTCTATTCTCCTCTGATTCTAATGGGACTTACTGTTAGGTATGCTGGCTGAGTTAGGTATCTGGCTGTAGAGACAGAAGCATAAGCTGCAGATGCCTGCAGAAGAAGGAAATGGTAAACCACCTCAGAGTATTCTTTACCTAGAAAAATATGAAAAATAGGAAAAGAGTTATCATTACTCACAACTGACTTAACAGCACACAATTGTCAATTTTAGGTAAAAATTCATAGACTTGTATCCATGTAGTTAAATTGCATGCATGTTTACTTTGCAGTAATTGAGTGTGTTCCATTTTTTGAAAAAGTTATTTATGTACCTGTAGTATCATCTATTTCCAAACTACCTTACAACTGAAATTTGGTCTAGAGAGAACCACAGATGGGTAAAAAAATTGTAGAAAGGGACAAATAAGGAAGCAGTATGCAGTTGTTTCCATTGCAGTGTTTCACAATTTAGCTCTCAGTTGCACTCACCATGAGGAAGAGCTGTAATTTTACAGTATGTTTGGGTGCAAGAAATGTGGTTGGGCAATAGGCTGAACTGAAAGAGAGGAACGAAAGAGAGAGGATTCAGAAGATAAAAAGCAAGATTAAATGCCTGTTCAATAGGATGAACAGTAACATTGGGGAGAGGAACATTTGAGAAGGAAGGCAAAAAAGTTCAGTCTTTGTACATTGCATAAGAATACAGTCATGCTTCCAAGACTTTCTGTTGTTTCTATAAAGGAAAATTTCTTCACAGCTTCTTGATAAAAGATTTTAATAAATGAAGTCATTTAGGCTGAACATATTTAACGTGCAAACAATTTCCACTGAAACCTATGGAGCTATTTCTAGGTAAATAACATTACGGCTATAACATTTAAAGAGAGGCATGCTGCCAAGGGAGTCAATCCCATTAAACTGGGCAGGGCATGTTTTCCCATACCTAATCTGCCATGTGATGCCGACTCTTTGGTAGGGAGGGGAAACAACTCTGCAGCTATTCAGAGGCAGACATGCTATCCTTATTTCACATGTGGTATTCTGACCTATAGCAGGTTCTAGGGTTGAACTCTGATTCAAAGGAGGTTCTGCTTTCTTCTGAGTAAATGTCTTTATGAATGAGCAATTAAGCTGCAGTCCCCCAAATTCTGGTGTTTGCTTTACAAAACAGAGATCAGTTGGGATCAGTTATGGACATTGTGGACCTTCTCATCCTCTGTTGTCCCCTTCTCCTCTTACCTTCACTCTTTCCCAGCATTCCAGGGAGATTTCTCTTCTCATGAGATGGCCAAAGTATTGGTGCTTCAGCTTCAAGATCTATCCTTCCAGTGAGCTCTCAGGGCTGATTGCTTTCTCTCAAGAGGCTCCTCCAGCACCACAATTCAAAAGCATCAATTCTTCGGCGGACAGCCTCTTTATGGTCCAGCTCTCACTTCCATAAATCACTACTGGAAAAACCATAGCTTTGACTATGCAGACCTTTGTTGGCAAGGTAATGTCTTTGCTAATATGCTGTCTAGGTTTGTCATCGTTTTAATGTCTTTGCTGATATGCTGTCTAGGTTTGTCATCGCTTTCCTCCCAAGAAGCAGGCATCTTTTAATTTCGTGGCTGCTGTCACCATCTGCAGTGATCATGGAGCTCAAGAAAGTAAAATCTATCACTACCTCCATATATTCCCCTTCTATTTGCCAGGAGGTGATGGGACCAGTCGATGCATCTTCGCTGATGATGCAGCTGTTGTTGCCCACTCTGCTGAAGACCTCCAACAACTCATGAATTGTTTTAGCAAGGCCTGCCAAGGCTTTGTATTAACAATCAGCCTGAAGAAAACAGA